AACTATTACAACAATCATTAATTAATTGTTATTTTTGTTCAACAATCAGTCATTAATAAATATATAGTAAAATTAACCATATTAATAGTAAAAATCATATAACAATGAAAGAATTGAATAAAATAGAAGGGAAGTGTTCTTTATTTAAACATTCTTTAAAACTTGTCTAATGCAAATAATGGTTGCTTCAAACAATCATTAGTGGCCTTGAGTCGACAATGTAATGGAGAGGTGTTATGGTGTTCGTCCCTACCTATTCTCTAGATCATTGTTTAGACTCAACAAAAGACAAGTCGATAGCACGCCAATTGGAGTGTCATGGTGTTCGTCCCTGCTTCTTTTGCTCAGTGCTGTTGAGACTTTGTTTTCCTCCACATTCAAACATATTGGTTTATTCTCTTCTTTCTTTTTTTGTAAGACAAACTTATCTTTAGGTTAACAGGGTGTGCTCCAATTACTCTCTTTACTTATTTGGACGTCGGGTTCAATCAATTGATGTATCTCTTACTATTTTTATTGTACCATTTATTATAATACAAATTATTATAAATATAGTATCAAATCAAATAAAAACAAATCGTAAAAGTGATAATTCAATTTTATTATACAAAGGTACAAGAATTATAATTACTAATAAATTAGAAATAAACTATATATATAGTTTAATTTTTGAAGAAGAAGAGAAAAACAGGACGATTGAGTCATAAAACTGTCTGAAAAAAGACTGAGAGAAAACCTAGAAAAAAAGATGACACAACAAATTGTAACACCATACAATGTGAGTGGTCTTGTCGACTATAATAAATTAGTCAAAGACTTCAACGCTGAGCTTTTAACACCGGAGCAAATAACACGGATTGGATCCGTAACGCATCGAGACCCTCACATATGGCTTCGACGTGGTCTATTTTTCTGTCATCGAGACATCAACCCTATATTAGATGATGTAGAGAAGGGGAATAAAATTTATCTTTACACGGGAAGAGGGCCATCGAGTGATGCGCTTCATTTAGGCCATTTGATACCGTTTATCTTTACTCAATACCTTCAAGAAGCTTTTAATGCGGAGTTAGTAGTTCAATTGACTGATGATGAGAAGTATTTGTGGAAGCCAGTAACTATACCAGAAACTAAACAATATACTATAGAGAATGTGAAAGATATTATAGCGGCTGGGTTGGATGTGAAGAAGACTTTTATCTTCAATGATTATGATTACATCGAACGGATGTATCCTTTAGTCACTAAAATTCAATCGCGGATCACTTTCAATCAAGTCAAAGGGATCTTTGGATTCCAAGCACATGACAACGTCGGCAAAATATCATTCCCAGCAATTCAAGCTGCTCCCGCTTTCCCAGAATGTTTCCCACATTTGTTTGGAAAACAGAAAATTCGATGTTTGATCCCTTGTGCTATAGATCAAGACCCATATTTCAGAATGACTCGAGACCACGCCGAAGCTCTTGGTGCTTATAAACCAAGTCTCATCATGTCAAAGTTCTTCCCCGCCTTACAAGGCTCACAAGGAAAGATGTCCGCAAGTGATCCAAACAGTGCAATTTACTTGATCGACACCCCAAAACAAATCGAAGAGAAAATTAATAAGCACGCCTGTTGCTCAGTCAAAGACTTGGACCTGTTTAAGACTCACGGAACTGATACTACTGATGATGTACCTTTCCAGTACTTAAGATTCTTCTTAAACGATGACCAATTACTCGACAAAATTAAGACAGACTACGAGGCTGGAAAAATGATGCCACAAGACGTGAAGAATATCTTAATTAAGGAATTACAAGAACTCGTCCAAAATCATCAGATCAAAAGACAAAAAGTCACTATGGACGTCGTAGAGGAGTTCATGAGAGTCAGAAAACTCGAGAAATAAGTCACAGCTACTTGGTATCAGACTTCGGGTTTACTGTACTATAATTTATAAATTCTATTAATAAAATGTATTAGAACCAGAATCGAGTCTATCTACGTCACACGTCATAGATGATTTGGTTGGCGTAGGTGTAATAATAGAAGATCAGAACAAATAAAAGACCAATACCACAAGTGATGAGAATAAGAACAGACTTTGTGATATTGGAACCCTTCTCGTGCTCCTCAAAAGTCGCTTCGATATGAACAAACCCATTTTCTTTGCTGAGTATCATCACTACGATACTCTCATTTGCTGATAACACAACACTCAAATA